ACAACTAGGATAGGATTGGCATGGCAGAAGCAAAATCTTTATATGTAGATGAAATGATCATCTACAGAGAAAATAGTAAGAAATCTCTAGGAGCCCCTATAACTTGTACTTGAATTTAGCAGGATTAGAAAACACAAGGTATATATAAAAATTCAGGTCTGTGTATACTTGCTATAAATGAAGTAGTTCTTGTATTTTTATGACCATGTTTTATATTTCTCTAAAATTAATTCCTTACAGAAACTTTTACAGTGTGGATGTGAAAAAGAATGGTTTAATCCTAGGTTTCCTGGTAGCGCTGATATCTTTGTCCTTTTGTTATAATAAGAATACTGAGAAATAGGGGAGAAGTTACTGGAAGAAAGTTACACATTGAATGAATGATAAAATAAAAACACGCCCTGATTTCATCCTTTGGAGTTAGAAGCTGGCACTTAGAAATTTTTCAATGTTCTTACCTTTGGTACAATGATAGTGTAGAAGGAAGTCTCCATTTGGTAAAGATGGAAGTGATAAGATTATCTGTAGCCTGTTTAGAAATAAATGACTCCCATTTTTAAAAAAATGTGTGTATGTAATTTGCTTTCTCCTAGGATGCATGCTTATGAGTTAAATGATATCATTTGACTCTTACAACATCTTAAAAATTGTTATGAAACATGATATGGGTTTTTAACATAGACTAATGTACTGTATATCCCAAGATCAGCATTTGCTCTTGCGGTTGAGAATTTATAATTTCAGGCTGCTGTCCAGAGTGACATCTGTAGATGCCTGAGTTGCATGTAGACATGGATGTGTTTGAGGCATAGAATATTAGTTGTTTCCTCTGCTCCTGGCTGCAAGGCTTGTTTTTTTTCTTTGTAAACTGATTTATCTTACAGTCTTCTCATGTAGACCCTGTGTTTGATTTAGCAACAGGAAACCATTGCAGAAAGAAAGAATAGTCCCAGCGAGAAGTCACAGGCTCCCCCGCCTTTGCTTCAACTGTATGCTTAAAAATACGGTACAGTGCAGTGAGCCTAGGTCTTGTTAAAAAGTACAAGACCAGGATGCTGTACCCAAGTCTTGATTCCTCATCTTTTAAGAAAAAGTTTCTCGCTGGGGATTTAGCTTAGTGGTTTCGCTGCCTGCTGTGCAAGTGCAAGGACCCGAGTTTGATCCCCGGTACCAAAAAAAAAAGAAAAGAAAAGAAAAGAAAAAGTTTCTCAGGATTCTCTCATCGCCGTTGGAAACTAAGTTGGGATTTGGATTTGCCTTTTCAGTTTTCTTTCACCTAAGTCTGGAGTCAAACTTTCACCTTTGTTGCTAGAGGGATGAGGTGTGAGGTATTTTTTGCTCACCACTTCCTCCCCTGTAAACTCTAAAGCCATGTGTCTTCACCCTCATCCTTTCTTAGGTAGTCCCTGAGTGCCATGTGCCTACTTCCTAGTTCTCCCTATCTTACCTTCAGTGGTCTTACCTTAGCCCTATACTGCTGCACACAGAGCTCAACAATGGAGTCCCTCCTATGAGGTCATCTGTGGATAGGTCAGGTTGACTAAGTGGATTATCAGCTTCTGAGCTCGATTTCTAGCTCTGTGGCTGGAGGTGCCCAGCCCTGCATGGCCATATTTTACAAAACCTCTATTTGAGCCTGGAGTTACAGATTGTGACTGGTTTACGCAGTCATGCACTGCTTAACACAGGGACACATTCTAGGAAATGTGTCTAGGAGATCTCATTGTTGTGTGAACATCCCAGAGTATACCTATACTACTCCAGGTGGTATAGTTAGGCTATATTATGATCATAAGGAGTCACCATCATATATGTGGTCCCTCCTAGATCAAAACATCAT